TTTTTTTTTTAAAAGAAGAGAAAACATATTTTAAATACTTGTATAATATTTCTTTTTTTATTTCTCTCTACAGAAAAGTGTCTAGCATCCACTATACCCTTTTCTTGAAGGGCGGGGGTGTAGTGCCTGCTTACGCTTCGTGTGAGACACGCCTTGAGTTCAATGCTTTTCGTTTGTTTACCTCCGTATTTACCTTCCTACTTTTTAGATGATGCACGCGTTGGTAAACACTCGCCTAGCCTGACCTTAAGTCGTGGTCACTGTTGATGTATAAAACCTGCCTCAATTCTGAATAAAGTTGTTGTTCGATATCACAAGTTGAGTCTATCATTTGTGTGTGTAGAGCAGCCATTATACTAAAAAATCATTCTAAATCCAACAATCGGCAAAATTCAGAGAATTGAAAGCAGAATAGTGTTTGGAAAAAAAACCTCCCATTCGATGCAGAAATCGATTGCTAAATCGAATTTCAGGTTTTTTCCAAACACTATGCTGCTTTCATTTCTCTGAATTTTGCCAATTTCTGGGTTTAGAATGATTCTTTCAGCTCATGCGCAGGGGCTACCATCCTTTGTTTTGCTAAAAATTCAAAATCTGCCGAGATTTTTGACTTAAAAGATGCGATATATCGCATGCCAGTTCGACCATTTCTTTTGAACTTGATAAATCACCTTGAAATGCCAAGTCTCTTCGACTTCCTTCAGACAGATTGTTAGCACTCATTGCATATGCACACCCTAACTACCGTACCATCAGAGAATAGAACTTTACTCATAGTGGAACAGAGGAATATTTGTATGGTCCAAAAATAATCAAACTACTTACGGTGTAACCAGGAGTGCAGATACAGGATCCATCTGAAGGATCACACACCCCTCCATTCTGACAGCTGCATTCCCTTTGACAAGAGTTCCCATGGGTTCCGGTCGGGCAGATTTCTTCACACCTGTAAAAAAAAAGCATTGACATTCACCTCTAAGAGAAAAAAGAAATTGTACTCCTAGGAGTACAAAAAGTAAGTAATTGTCACCACAGGGTTGGGTAAATTGCAAACACAATTTTCGAAAAATTAGAAGAAAAATATTTTTAACTTTCTTAATGAATTCATACTTGTTTTATTAAAGGAAATTAAGCAACACCTGAGGTATTATACAGCGTTTTTTCCTAAGCAGTGCAGTATTGGTCTTTGAGCCTCATTCTTGAAAGAATACATTTAATTTGATACGATAATTTAAATGCAAAAACTTACAAGGGTCCTGTGTATCCTGATGGACAGCTACACTCTCCGGTGATATGGTCGCAAACTCCATCATTTTTGCACTGACAGCGTTCCACACAGTCCTGTCCCCAGTGATTGGGAGCGCATTTCTGGTCGCAATGGGGTCCCTTGAATCCTGGTGTGCAGTAGCATGCACCATTTTCCGGATCGCAGGCACCATTCGTACACAGGCATGTCCTCTTCACAAGTGGGTCCGAATTTTCCAGTTGGGCATGCTGCAATGGGTAAAAAGGGGTTTGGTAAAAAAATTTTGGACATTTTTTAGCAATAAAATAAAATTGAGATATGGGGGGGGGATTCTCACATGCTAAAAAAATTAAAAACATTTTCACAAATCATGATTTCATTACGAGTGGATTGATGGCAGGCTAATACGCAGTTCGACCATCGAAAAGACACTCCTGATAATAGGCGACTGGGCACGGTCTAAACCAGAAAAAGGCGTCGCATGTTCTCTCTTCTAGATCTTACATAAAAAACAATCCATACAATGGGAAGTTTGAGAATCAACTCCTGAATGAGATGTAAACAAGTATTTTCATAACACAGATCAAATGGAAATTGGATCATACACATGAAGTCATTTGTCTTTTAGCCATTTAACTAATGTTAATTGTGAACATTTAAATCTTGTTTTGGTGGTTGATTAGAGTTCGCATTGTGTGATTCGTTTTCCTAATGAAATTTTGAGGAGGAGTTATGTTACGTAGTGCTTTAATTATACCGCGTTTAGTAGAAAGGAACCAAGCCACTTCAGCTATTGCCAAATTTAACTAGGCAATTTAATTTTTTACCCGAGAACGTTTATGCAGATTCCTTCGAAAATAATAAGGAATTTCCTTTGTGCTATGCAGAAAATTCACTGAAATTTGCACGAAAATCAGCACAACCGATTTCATGTAAAAAATTATAGTGCCCGATTAAAGTTGGCAATAGCTGATGTGGCTTGGTCCCTTTCTGCTTAACGCGGTCCGATTCATACCTTGTCCAGTGACCACTTACACAGAAAGAAATTATATTACTGATTTAACAATTTTGTGGTTAAATAAAAGTTTCTGACATGTTTCAATGTAGATTTTACAATGAAAAAATGCTAATTTAACCACTCCCGTGTTCAAATTAGGTATCCTTCATTGTAAAATGTACACTTAAAACATGTCGGACATATTTTTTAATGATTTAACTGTTAAATCCATTTTTTTCCGTGTAACAAACTTATTTACTCATGGGTGGTTTCCCTATAACTGGAATAGTTTTGTCGCAATAACAGACAACACATTTTTCGGTCATATTTTTAGTACTAATGATAATCACTCGAAATATTTTGCATTAATCTACACAGGGTCACGTCTCATAACGCTTTTCAAAGATTTATCGCTCTACTTTTCAATTGTAATCTATAAATGGCCGAAGATGTGCTGTCTGTTACCCTGAATTTTTACCGCGTAACAGACGGCACATTTTCGGAATTTACATAATATTAATTGAGAAATAGAGCAATAAATCATTAGAGAGCGTTATAATGCGTAACCCTTTGAAGATTTATGCGAAAAAATTCGAGAGATTATCATTTCTACTAAAAATGTGACCGCAAAATGTGTCGTCTGTTACGGCGACAAAACTATTCCAGTTACCGTGAAACCACAGTCATGTCTAGTTTTTTTTTCATCATTTTTTTTAATACCTAGCTCGTTCCTATTATCATTTCCAACAAAATGAACTTTCTTGGGGAAAAATAAGAAAAAAAACGCTACTTACTCTTATTACAAGTGGCGCCGCCGAAGCCGACTTCACACTTGCAAGTATC